TAAAAAAAAAAAAAAAAAACATTAACGTAGTGTCCGTGATGTCACCCGTTGGTTTCTGAAGAGCATTTTTGAAGCCTAAAGTGGGCGGAGTCGGTCGTTGCCATCTTGGCAGCGCGTCACCGTCAAGCGGCAACCTCCCGCTCTCTCTCGTGATGCCAACAAGGAAGTGACTTAAACTGTAATTCATCGACTGGCCGCTAGAGGCTGGCTGCAAAAGGGAGTCAGTCTCATAGACTCCCCATGTTAAAATGCCCAACTTTACAGCAGAAAATAACATGTTTACAGCCTGGTTCAAAAAATGATTTTGGTCTATATAGCTCATTTTGCCCTTCATGACAACTGTGAGGGGGGTGAATAACTCATCTGTTTAAATTATATTAAGCCTTAAAGTTCTGCATAATTAAGGGCGTGGCCACTTGAGTGACAGGTAGATTGCTGCTGCTGTCATCACCGTCGAGCTAGGTGGGCATGGTTTTAGCAACCAGCTCCCGCCTCTTTGTCCATTTTCGATTATCTGGGAGTGACGTGCGGTAACGCTTTTATACAGTCTATGTTCTGATTCGATTTGAAAATAACCATTCATTTAATGTTTTAAAAATATATTTGTGCAGACTTAATATAATGTCTTCTCAACTAAGTCCAAGGAAAAAAATTAGTTCAACTTAAATATTTTTGCCCTTCCAACATTTTGTTAAAGGAGACATATTATGCCCCTTTTTACAATATGTAATATAGGTCTCTGGTGTCCCCAGAATGTGTCTGTGAAGTTTCAGCTCAAAATACCCCACAGATCATTTATTATATCATTTTGAAAATGCCTATTTTGAGTGGAAGCAGAAACACAATGTTTTTCGTACCTGTCTCTTTAAATGTAAATGAGCTGCTGCTCCCCGCCCCCTTTTCCAGAATCGAGCTGCGCCATTACAGCTCGTACCTGCTAAAAAACGTTTTGGTTCTGATTATCATGTTTATCGCGCTGAAATCATGTGTTTTAAACCATATTAGTTTAAACTTCTGATATAAGGTTTTCTGAGTGCACATAGACAGAGAACTGGTGTCACAGCATGTGAGTACAAAAAGAAGTTCT